CCGCTCAATCGCCGACATCATCAGGGTCACGGCTGCGCCGTGACGCCTGATGATATCTCTGATTTCGCGGTAAATAACTAATACATATTAGATTATTTGCTTGCTTATTAGTTTGAACATATGGGCGGATTTGTCTATTCAGAATTAAATAAAATTTTTAAAATAAATCGTACTCAAAATATTGCTGTAATATCAAAATCAGCTGATTATTTGTCATCTGATTAGCCGGAATAAAAAATTTTTATATCACACTAAATGATTTTGAAAAGTTTTACTGTGTCTGTAATTGTATTTTTTCTATCATTTCACATTTGTAAAAACTAAGGATGTTAAACGGCCCTTAAAAAAGTTTTGAAGTTTTAAAATTATTAATTCTAGAAGACTCATCATTTAGGGTTTTGCCCTGCAAATAATTTCTCGCCAACCTCGAGTGGTATTATAACACTCGTCCCCTAGCATATAATTATGAATTGGGTTCGTACGGAGATTAGAAGCGTAGACAAAATTGGTGCTCTAGCGTTATGACCGCGAATTAATGTTGATAGTTCGACCTGGACCGTAGTTCACAAGCATAATAATTACCCAAATACCAACATGAAAAAGTCGACCGCGTAAATGAATCTATGACCTCAAATCACGATATAAACTGGAAGAGAGAGAAAAATTATTATTACGAATATAATTGTTTGGAGGAAGTAGAAAGAAGAGCTTTGATTTGAGTAATTCTTCAAGGATATCTACCAATTTATACATTATTTTATGTTGGTCATTGGTGAAACAAAAGGTGCAGTGGATTGCAAGCTTGTAGAAATTTTATGTAGAAATATTAACACTTCATTTCTATTTATTAGACTTGAATTCCTCATTTTCACTTCATCACATATTTATTCTATAAGTTATGTTAATATGAAGTTTAAATTATCTTTTGATGAATCAAACAAAATGAAGAATTAATATACACTTAAAAATTATTGATTACATATTGTGCATATGTATTTAAATGAATATTGTTACTGAAATAAGAGCCTTCAAGAAATATCCTAAATTCTTAATTGTCCGAAGCGTAAGAGTAGGACACTTTCGGTTGTGGATCTGTTATGTAATATATTCTTTGATATTATTAATCTTTAAATATATTTTTTATTATTTAAAAAGAATATAAACTACTAAATAAACTAGAAGGATTATTAAATTTGTCTAATTAATTTTAACAAAAATTTTGCCACCACGTGTTCAAAAGTTTTAAACGCAATAAATGAATATCGAATTATGAAAATCTTGTATTTTTCTCTTATAAAATTTGATGAAAAATCTTTAACAAATTCTTCAGTAAACATATCAAATTCTTCATTTACTTAGGTAAAGTGAATTAGTAGCAGCAACTGTAAATTATGGACGCATGGGTTAAATCATGTTACATCATATGACTTATTATACTTAAGTAACAAATTTAAATAGCAAACTTTCCACATCATCAAAAAATATTAAAAATATTGACGAATGATAAAACTATTTTTATTAAAAATAATATGACGAATATTTGAGAGATTAGTCTTTTGCTCATACTATAAACTCGACCAATATTGCAAAAATGAGTGATATTATTTATTTAAGATGATGGCTTTACAAGGATCAATTGTAACCGAGTTCTTAAATCTCTTACTTGTTTTCAGGCACATTATCCTAATTTATATGTTAAGTCAACTATTATGCCGATTAAACATAATACAATGCCGAGAAGCTTGGTGATATTTTACTTAATCTTATATGAAAGTCTATTTGCTATTATGTTCGGTTCGTACAAATTAATTGTGTACTCTTTGATAAATCAATAATTTCGTCAAATTTTGATTTCACTCGTTGTTTTTCATTTATTAGATCAAAATAATTTATAATTTTTTGCATTAACCAGTAAACTCCCATTTCATTCGCAGATAGAAAAGGTACTTTATTTGATATCTAGGAAATAATTTATAAAGTCCAGTCTTTTATTTTAAATAAAACCAGAAATTTCAAATCGTCATCAGAATTATTTAAAATTCAAAATATCAAATTTAATTTATTATTATCAAAATAATGCAAAGATACTTTAAAATGTGCAATGTGATTTAGTACTTTTTAGAACTTGAACTAAACTGATGATCTGTTAACACCTTGCTTACCTCTATCATCTTATTTAACTAGTGGACCATGTTTGGAATCCCGTATAGATGTTTTTTTTTTCCTGATCAAAATAAACGTGCAATTTGCAGATCTGACTGATGTTGAAATTGATTTCCTTTTAAATTTTTAAGTCTTATCTGACAATTCAACTTTCATATAAACAATTTGTACTGCATATTTAGATCAATCCCAGTTTATCAAATTGTTCGCTTTGTAATAAATTTCGACGAAAAAAATTTGTTTCCACATTTAACAATGCCAAAATCATTATTTGCTGCGGAATTTTCGAAAAATGATCGCCGCAAACCAAAACTTAATTTAATTCAATATTTGTTACACAATTACAAACTATAAATTGCCATTCCTTTTTGATCAAACATGATGATTCCCTTCTCCCCCTTTTTTCATTAAATAGTTTTATTAAAATGACTCGCCAACTTCCCGCTGACTGTTTAAATGAAATATTTGAGATATTGAACGACAATGTCGCTTTACATTCGTGCTTGCTTGTTAATCGTCTTTGGTGTGAAGTTTCTGTTAGAATCCTATGGAGAAGAATTTGGAATTATAGTACCTTAATTGATTGTCTTCCCAAAGAGTCAAAAGAAACCTTATATAATAATGAAATTATTATAAATCCATCCTTGAAACCTCCACTATTTAATTATGTTTCATTTCTTAGATATCTTTCAATTGATAAATTTGTTAGAATCTTTATAAATCATCACCCTCTCGCTTCACAATACCTTATTGATAACAAGTTAGTAGTAATAATCCAGGAAATATTTAAAATGTTTATTAGCCGAATTTCTTCTGTAAAAAAACTAATGATTAGATCAATAGACATTCCAAACTTTACATTTTACTCTTATCCTGGAGCAATCGATTGTTTAACAAATCTTTCAGAGTTTGACTGTGGTTCAGATATCCGTTCCGAATTTTTTTATCAATTATCTCGAATATGTCATAACGTGCAATCACTAAGCATAACACTTAAATCAGACATTTCGGATGGATTAGCTGATTTGATTTCCGTTCAGCAAAATTTAAAGATTATTATAATCCATCAATCATATACTTGTAACAGTGACTATTTGAAATGGTTAATTCCCTTTGTAGCAAAGCATTCAAATACTTTAACCAAAGTAGATATCAATGGGGTTATTGAAGCATCATTACTATTTCTCGTTAATTGCGAAAACTTGCAAGTACTTTTATTAAATAGTTTTAAAGATTCTTTCAAAGATTTTAAAAGGTTACAACATGTTGTCTTTCCACAATTACGAGAGTTGCAATTAAATAATCAACATATAAAACCAGCCTATGTCATTAAATTCTTAGAAAATAATGGAAATTACTTGGAGAAATATTATGGGCTTTATAATTATAATAATTCAATTAATGTAGCAATAGGTAAATTTTGTTCAAATCTGAAATTTTTCTGCGTTACTCTTAAAAGGAATGAAATGGAAGGGTTTAAAGTAATTTTAAATAATTGTCATCGATTGGAAGGTATTGAAGTTTGGTGTGGGAGTGACTATTTAAATGAAATTGAATTGTTGGAGGTTGTTGTAAAGTATTCACCTAAAACTTTCTATAACTTATCGTTATTCTATACATCTAAATCACTTTCAAATTTATTGTCAAAAGGATTGGAATCCTTTTTTACAAGTTGGAAGGATCGTACACCACAAAAATCACTTAATTTTTCTTTCAAGAACATGTATGCCGCGAATAATTTAGACTTTAAAAATGAAAATATGAATATGTTTGAAAAAATTTGTAAAGTTAGGTGTTATTAAAAAATTTAGTATGTCAGGTTGAATAGCGAAACTTTATATAAATTATTATTTTTTCATTTAAACATAACAATAGAATATCAATTTATTTGAATAATAAATGAAACTTTACTCAACGAATTATAATTAAAATGAGAAATTGATTGCACAGCACAAATATTTTTAATAAAACGAGTGAGATTTGTTGAAATTTTTATATTTGTACAAGATAAGTTAAATTTTTATGTTGTTCTATTTTAAAATTGAAAAGGAAGACTAACTATCGTTGTTCTTATTTTATTTCTTTCGGAGAACATATTCATCTTTCAACATAAAATGCTCATTATAATATTAATCAATTTTATTTAAATAAATATTATTTTTTTCAAATTCATTTCCAAAGTGGTAATTATTCATTTATTGCATTAATTATTCTAATTCATAAATTTTATTAAAAATAAATATTTAAAACCTGCAATAAGAATAAAAATTTTTTTTGTCAACAAATACCTTCTCATTTTGAACCTTTATAAATTATTATATTAAAACATCATTTAAATTTATTCACCTTTTTCATGTTTGCATTCAAGCTTAGGAACTTTTAAAAAGGTATTATTAAATAAATTAAACAATTCTTAAATATGCCATCTTCTATATAATTGTAATTGAAATAAAAGAATGTATTATTAAGTAAAAAAATGATTCCATATCTAATGAACAAATTAATAGAACTTTGGAAGTGAAGCGAATCAAGAATACATTTAAAAATACGTTTAATAGATTTAAAACACTAACCTTTCAAACTAACTCTCTGGAATATTATTGTTGCAGATTTTCAAGTCAAATGCGGATAAATTTCAGATAAACATCGTGAACGATTATTTGGAGCCGAAGAAGAGACTGTCGAAAGTAGATTAATCGTGAAAAAATAACTTAATGTTCCGGAAACTACGAGCATATACATATGATATCGTTCGTATACCTTAAAGAATCTCAAATGCCCATTATAAGATAAATGCATTTACACAGTTAACGTCATTTGTAAAACAAATTTTTATATGGTCTAAAAACTTTATACTGATGATATTGAGAAAATTTAGAAAATTTGAAGAATTCATTCAAAATGTTGAAAATTTTGTTATATATTTCATGGTAACACCAAAATCGATTCTTCATCTTCCTATTGGTGGATTGCGTCAAAAAATTTGATGACAAATATTATACACGACAAAGAGAAGAAATCGTTAAAACTCCTTTTGATGAACCGACCACTCCCGACAGGCTGATCCGATAACACCGATAGAAGTATTATAGAACACCTTTCTAATTAAACCCAACTCATAAAAACAAAATAAATTTTTAAAATTAAAAAATTGTATTTTAATATTGCCATTGTCGAAACTTTTGCCATCCGTCGAAACTTTTGTCAACCGTCGAAACTTTTTCCACCAATCGAAACTTTCGCAATTTTGCCTTTAATAAAAAAATTTGGCAAGACGTTTCGATGGGTTTCGATTTCGATGCCTGTCGAAACCTCGGGGTTTTGCCCGGCAACCTTAGTTACAAGGTTCATTCGTTTCGAATATTTTTTTTTTATTTTTTGGAATTTTTTTTTATATAGTTTAATGTTATTCGGTTTTCGTTTTGTTAACTGGTAGATGATTTATTTTTAGTATGATAGGTAGGTTTTTTCTATTTTTCCTCGTTTTATTGATGATTAACTTGATCTTTTGTCGTCTATATAAATTACTGAGTTAATTTTTCTTTATACGCTCCGAATCTAAAAAACTCGGTCATTTTAATTCTAAAAGATCGCTAATTAATAGTTACGTTAGTTTCAAATGGAATAATTATACTTCATGGACCAGTTTCTCGATACTGGTGGTTTATTCCGTCAATAGAAACTATATAAATAGGTGCTCAAATAATGTACGCGTTGGAATTTAAACTCAAGTAGAACTAAACGGTAAAATTTTATTTTATGTGTGTTGATGGAAACAAGATCGATACAAGTAATCCAGGATATACATAGCAGTATAAATGTTTGCTAGTAATGTTGAAGAATCTTCAAAAAAAAGCAATATCTTCGTTATATCAAAAAAATTTTCAAAAGTAACAAATATATCAGGTTCGTTAGGTTTAGGTTAAGATAATGACATTTTGCTCAAGGAGTTATTTCAAGATGTAAATTTTAAACCAAATTCACTTTCAAAGGAATAATGGTATTTAGATTAAAGAAGGTTGGCCCTGGTTTTATTTCTTTATTTATATATGTAAAATAATTGTACAATTAATTGAACAGAAATTTAATAATTAATGAATTTATATGACTTAAAAATGAGCTAACAATATTTATAAATAGGTCCGGCAATTTTATCACCATGTCGATCATTTTACAATCGAAATTTTATATTAGGCATTAATTATATTCAAGTTTTGGTAGAATATGGCCGTTCTCAAGCGCATCCCTCAATGTGATTGGCCAATGATTGAAGTGATGCTCAAGTATCACGATCAACGCTTGAGTAATCTCTTTACTCTCTTGCTTTTTTTATCGAGTTTTATGATGGTTCAAAAAAAGAGAACTAAACCAACTTTTGTAAATTTCGTTCCGACTACTCATTTCTCTCCTTTTGACAACTTAACAAATAATTTATCCTCGAATTACTGTGATCCTCGAGGCCATCCATGCAATTCGTCCTTGTTCTAAATCTAATATTGCCTCTAAAAATCGATCGAGTGATATTCGAGTTCCATTTGCTAATCGCCATAATATAATGGCATGGCAATTTGTTTTAATGCAGGTGTTGCATTAGAGGCGTCTAGGGTAAAGGCTTGATGGATTTCTAATCGAGTCACAATAGTACGAAAAGTTGTAAGAGTTATACTAAAATGATGCCTAAAAGAATTATAACCTACTCCATCTACTAAATATGGAAAAACATCAATCCAGAACCCTTCAGTTTTAGGTCTTGGCTGACGTTGCAATCTTTAATGGATAAAAAAAAAAAAACACGAAAAATAATTTATATTTGTTGTGATAAGGACAGTTAAAAGATGATCGTCATTGAATCTTTGCATTTGAATATCTTGACGCCTTTTATTTTTTATGACGGCTTCTAGTATAATTATTTGATTTTTGTCGGCGTTGAAGATCCATAGTGTAAAATGTGTAAATATGTTGTGTAAAATGGAAAGTGAAAGAGTTAGGCGTAATATACTCCATTTTTTTCCATTTTTGGTAGCCTTTTTTGTCAATTATAAACCCATAGACGGAGACGCTTATGTCTACTTTATTTCATATTTAAGGTTATGTAGCACAATAAAATTTTAAATAACGTACAAAAGTTATTAATTACTTTTTATTTGGTAGATCCATTCCTTAAAGAACTACAATATCTTTCACTTTGTCGATCATATTCTATTTGGAAGAAACATGGAGTTTTAATCACCGTTATTTGAATGATTATTTTCTTTCATTGCATTATGTCTCCATTCTTATGGCGATGCATCGAATAAAGTTTATGCATTAACTGCTGATATCAATTTCACAAAATGATTGAATTTGAACAAACTGACGAATCTCTCACAAACGAGGAAAAATCAGAGATAATACGATCATTAATTGAGAGTTATGACCATGGAAAAGTTTCTTTAAATCAAGGAATTAAAAAAGTTTGTGAAAATTGCAAAAATGTATGTTTAGCTACATCATATTGTGAGCATTGTATTCGAAATTATTTAAAAGCAAAATTTTCAGAATGGACATCTGGAAATAATGAAATAGATACCTTAATACAGAAATGTCAGACGGAAGTGGTTCTTCCATTTAGAATAGTTGAATGGATCCCGTACAATAATTTACAAAATATTGAATATTTAACTAAAGGTGGATGCTCTGAAATTTATACAGCAGATTGGAATGGTGGTGGTTATGACGAATGGAATTATATTGGAAAACAATTAACAAGACTTGAAAACGAAAAAGTAATACTTAAAAGATTAGGAAATGTCGAAAGCGCTAATAGAAGTTGGTTTGAAGAGGTATGTAATTTTTAAAAGCAGTAATAATTGACTTATTTTATAAAAAAAAAAATGTAAGTAAGAAAGCAACTAATTAATTGAATTCTCATTTATAGGCTAAATCTCAATTAATATTAAGCAGCAAATGGGGATCATTCGTTGAAACTCGTGGTTTTACTCAAGATCCTCAAAATAAATATTATTTAGTAATGGTATTACTTGATATGGATTTAAGAAAATATTTACAACAAAATCATCATCAACTTACATGGAAACAAAGAATTAATATAGTTTTATACATAATTGAAGCAATTTATTTCCTACATAACGAAAACTCTATTCATAGAGATTTGCATTCAGGAAATATTCTATATCCTAAAAATACTGATAGTTGGCATATTAGTGATTTTGGATTTTGCGGTCCTGCTGATAAACCATTAGGAAGCATATATGGAAATCTTCCTTATATTGCACCTGAAGTAATTTTTGGAAAAGGATATACATTTGCATCAGATATTTATAGTCTTGGTATGCTTATGTGGGAGATTTCATCTGGAAAACCGCCTTTTGCTGATTTTGATCATGATTATGACCTTGTGACAAAAATAATGAATGGGATGAGACCGAAGGTAGTGCTAGGAACTCCATCAGAATATAGAAATTTAATGATACAATGTTGGGATGCTGATCCATTGAAAAGACCCACTGATACCATTTGGTATAAATTTCTAGAAATACAAAAGTCATATTATCAAAATAATATTACTTGTACACAATCAAGTGCAAAATCTATTATAAGTTCTACGTCTATTAGTTCATTAGTTAGAAAGTTTAGTAAATTTTATACTTTTAAAAATTTACCTTAGAAGGTAAGCTATTAAATTTTATTTATTTGAAGATTAAATTATTATTTTTAATTTACAGAAGAGCAAGAAGGTTGTTATTTAAAAAAATTTAATTATTAAGGGTTTTATTTAATATTAAATTAGTATATGTAATTTTTTTTTATAAAAAAAGCTTATGATAGCAAGCAAAATAGTCTTTATATTCCAGATAGTAAGTAATATTAGTTTATATGCAACCAATAAGAAATTAATAATTAATTTGATTTTCTTATAAAAAAAAAATTAAAAGAAATATCTAAAGACTATACCGAACAGAATGTTTCTACAGCAATTATAGGTAAAAATAAATTTTTATAATATTTTGATTTGCAATTCAGATATTGTTTAATAATTTAAAACTTTATGTAACAGATATGAAAATTGGCAAATCTAAGAGGAATTCTTCATATCAATATGATGGTAATGAGACATTTCGTTATAATTAATAATGGACATATATGTATTAATATTTTTGTTATTTTAATTAGAAAATCAAAAAGAATCAAAAATTAAATCAAAAAAAATAAAACTTAGTAATGACAATGGAGGTAATTATTTGTAAATTTTGTTCAATTCTTAATATATCATAACTATAAATGTATTATTTAGAAATAAATATAAACGATAAAATTGAGACGTACTATATGCAAAGAAGTTTTAAGGCGAGCGATGGTAAGAATAGATAAAACTAGTTACTTTATTACCGAACTTAAAATTAATTATTTTTAATCTCATTAGATGATGAAGAAATATATAATAATTCAAATTTTCATTCAGAAGATCAAGATGATTTAGAAATTCCAGAAGGTAAACTATTAAATTAATTTTAAAATAATAATTATGAGTTTAAGTTTAAAACAGTGACAATGTTGATATTATATTAATTATCTAGAACTATTTAAAGACCGGAAGTTTTTAATCAGTAATTAAAATAGATCATGGAACATATGATTTATTATATTCGTAACTCGGATTATAATAACAAACCTCCCATATTATCATTTTTTATTTTTATTATGTATTAATTAAATGTAATTATATGAGTAGCAATTATTAATTGCAATAAACCTTAAAGTTTGATGAATTAAATACAAAATTATATATAATACCTAGATTAGGTTGGTGTGCGGCGACTTCATCGCCGCTAGATATGGCTATTGTACTACTTTATCGATATTTAGTTATGATATATTCTTAATGCATTTATAAGAATGTTTAATTATTTGTTTGTAGTGGTCTAGATAAAGGTAATAGTTCAGATGCTTTTGCTTCTAATCTCTCATATTCTTTTATCACTTAAAGATTTGATTTTAACATTGTTCTAATTGTTACATCTGTTTATGCCGCCGTGATGAGCCGAAGGTCCATCCGAAGTGCTGCGTCCACGTTCACGTGAATAGGCAGAATCGGCCCTAACCTACAAAATCGAAAAAAAAAGGTAATTAAAAAGGGAATTAATAATCCAAATCAATGCAAAAAAAAAAAAGGATCGAACCTGACGGCGCCGCCGTGACGATCCAAATCGCCCTAAAGAATAGAAAATAATTAATAATAATAAAAAAAAAAAGTGAATTAGTAATCCCAATCAATGCAAAAAAAAAAAGGATCGGACCTGACTGCGCCGTCGTAGGGTCCGTCCGAAGTGCCACGTCCATGTTCCTAACCTATAAAATAAAAAGTGACTATTAAGATATGTATTTTTTTTTTATTGCTTTTATAGTATTTATATTTTTTTTTATTCGTCTCCCTCCCCCTCCTCATTCTTTTTATTTTTAATTATATTTTTTTTTTACTTTTTTCTTTAATTTATTTCTTTTTTTTTAATTTTTTTGTTTGATCTTATTTATTTTTATTTTTAATTGATTATTACTAATAATAATCGCGATTTTTAATATCCGGAAACTTATTGTCCTTGAAACCTGGGACATCATCGGGTAGAATTGTTATTAATAAACATCATGCACTTGACGGCGTCACGTGATGAGCCGAAGGTGCCGCAATCACGTTCGTATGAAATGGCGGGATTGGTCCTAACCAAAAAGCCATTAGATTTTGATTAATAATCAAAAAAGTTACCCACCTTACTGCGCCGCCGTGAGAAACCAAAGTGGCGAATCTACCCGATCTAATTAATAAAATCATAAATCAATAATTATGAATTAGTTAATTTATTATTAATTAAATAAATAATCAACGATAGGAATAGACAATACATAAAAAACAATTTCATCATATATTAGTTTTTTAAATTACCTTTATTAACAGAACCGCCAAAACTTGTGCAAATTAAACATAAGCGCGGGATATTTCATTATTGTTGGCATCGACAGAATTATGTTGTAATTCATTATTAAAATTCATTATATCGTCCTTGATTTCTGTAACACTATCAGCATTATACTCGAATTTTTCTTTTATAAACGCTACAATACATGATCCATCGGGTGAACTCAGAACATTAGCAGTATTTGATGGAAAACTACAAACCGCTGGTCGAAATTGCTTATTAACAAGATTGAAAATACGTGCCCGACCACCTTGCTCAACAAAGCAGAGTTCTTCAGTATCTTTAACAAAAATTAAATGCTGAAGATTCGGGACCATATTATTGTACCATTGTAGTAACTGGAATATAAATATGCTTTGTCCATCATTAAAAGAAAGTACATTTAACTATTTTCAAAATAATTTTAATTTAAGTTTTTATTAAAACTATATGAATAAATCCCAAGAAACATTTAGCATATATAGCTATTGGCTCTTTATGCTCATTAACTGCAATAAGTATATTTTCATCTGTATTCAAAGTTTTAAATGGTTTTAATTGAATATTTGAAATTATTTGCTAACCGTTGAGCAGTGTCAAAGAATATCTCAATTTTTTGGTTTTTTTTATCGTAAAGCACAAGAAATTTGCGATTTTCAAATTGGGATATTTTTCTTAGATAAATATTGTCAGACAAGACAAAAAATAATTTAAAGAAAATCAAAAAAAAAAAATAGATCTATACCTGCAGTCGTAAATTGAAGAATCAATCTTAAAAGTAACGGCATCGGCATACTGACCATATGAACGAAAAATTGGATTTGGAATATAAAACTCTTCCTTATGTAGACGGAAGGACTCTGATTGATCTAATGAAGTTGCTTTTGGCTCAATTATTTCAAGCTCATATTTGAGAGAGAAAACCCTAGCCGAGTTATAAGATTCACATGCTAAAACATTAAATAATGTGTTAAAATTGATGTCATTAATTATTTATAAAGTTTTATAACTTATCACCTGTTATACTCTGTATATTCGTCCGTAGAATTCTAATTGATATTTTTTTCAAAATATAAAAATATTATTTTATAAATTAACATTTAGTTAATTAATACTTACCCATTATTTCATCACAAATCCTTTCAAATTCAATATTTTGTTTCTCTTGCTCAAATTCTTCTTTTAACTGAAGTGATAATTTTTGAATGAGAGAATCTTTTTGCAAAATATTTTTCATTTCATAAGAAATTGTAACTTTCCATTTTTTGTATTCTTCTAAGAAAACACTTATTAATTCTTTTTTGTCCTCTCCAAGAAACGATGAATTAATAAGATTATGTATAAATCTATCATTTGGTATATTTTTAAGGTCTTGTATAGATTTAATATCTAAAAGATTTTTGCAATGATATAATTCTTGTAAAGATTTTGTATCTATCGGATTATTGAAATTAGTAAGGCCTTGCGCAGATTTCACATTAGACGAATTTTTTAATTTTACAAATTTTATATATTTTGATAGTGAAATAATTGATTGACTATTGTCAAATAAACTATGACTTGCAGATTTTCTGAACGTATTATAAAAAATCTGGCTTGCAGATTCTTCAGTCATTTCCAATATATCAAAAATATTTGTCGAAGTAAAAATATATCGACTTTTCAATTTATTCCAATTGTTGGAATTGATTTTAATTACTTCATCAATTTGGCCTTCTTTACCTGGATATTTTGAATGAATCCTTTCTAAGTCTAAATTAATAAAATATAAAGTGATTAGATAAATAAAGATAATGATTATAAATAATCCTTAATAGTAATTTACAACAATACTTAACCCTTATCACTTATATCAATTACATTTTCTCGTGACAATGGGATTTCCGAAGATTCTCGATCCAATTCTTCAAAAAGCCTGAAAATAAGTATAAACAATTAATGATTATTATTCTTTTAAAAAAAAAAATACTAAATATATATACCTATAACGGTCACATAACTTTTTCCATGCTAAATTTGAAATTGTATCAAGTTCATGTTTCTTCTTTTCTTCATACCGCAATTTTGCAGTTTGTCTTTCCTTACGAAATAATCCTAAAAGTTCATCCTCCATTTTTAGACCATGTATAATCAAGATTTCTAATGATTTCATGTCCATTGTTCTACGATCAATATATAACCGTCGTTCTTTAAAATTGGACTAAAGCTTTTGTGAAAATTCCCATTCATTAACTGGTATAGTGATTCCTCGCATACATGACGTCTCCTTTGTTAATTTCCGAGTAGCAAACGATTGATTTGTAGCAGATTCAATAACTAAATCAAAAAATATAAATAATAGCGGGTCAAAACGAATATTTTTGAATTCGTTTCATAGAATACAAATTATTACAAATAGGATGCAAGGGTACACCATCTTCTTGAGTATTTTGTAATTCGGTTTTTATATTATCTAATAAATCCACCTTAATATTGAAAAAAATATTAAATACATTACATTTTATACAATATAAATAAGTTTAAATATAAACCTTAAAGCCGGTATATATTTTAAAGTCATCCTGTACTTCCTGACTTTTCTTGACTTCAAATTCATAAATCCTTTTATCGTCATCTGATTCAACATCGGTATTGTATAAATTCCAATCGAAACTTTCTAAATCTTCTTCACTCATAAGGCAAAGTTGATGCTCGGTAACCTTTGTCAAATATCTATAGGTTTTATAAATTAAATTTAATTAAAGTTTAAACATTTAGAAATTGAACTGCTGAATAAATAGATGATACCTATGTAGGTTAGTCATATTTTTTTACATTGTGAAAGACATTTTCCTCGTAACATCTTACTTCGGGGCCAATGAATAACTAAACTAAAATCTGGATTACAACCAAGAAGTAAATACCAGGACGTAAAAAAGGTTTATTTGAGTAGTCGAAAGAAGGCTGCGAGGATATAAGCAATTCATAACTAAATAAAAGAACAAATTAAATCTATGATTATTGAATAATTTTTTTTATCTGGGATCTTACATACATTTGTTGATTAATAATCTCTAAATTCAACAAGCGTCTTGCAATTAAATGGCGATTTCCGTAACATCCAATAAGGCGAACAGAGCCATATTGTCGCATAGTTTCTTTAGATAATCCTTTGAGATAATTATTTTATCGACTAAAAAATTATGTTAAGCTTTTGTTGGGTAATTTTTTATATTCAAATTCAAATTCGCAAAACTGTAAAGAAACATACCAAGACCATTCGAACCATCATCTTTGTATAAGTCTAATAAACGATAGTAACCAGGAATATGTTCAATCAAATCTTGGGTAGATTTGTTTTTTGCATACCAAAGTCATTTATGTTGTTGTCGGACATGTTTGTATTCATTAGTTGGTCTCTACCGGATGAAATTAAGTTTTCTGATTTATTTCGTTCTTGGTGTTCATTGGATAAAGTTTCATTAGCTTGAAAATTGTGAATATTTTCATCATCTTTTTGGCCGCATTGTTCTTTCCCTAGATCTTCATATGAAGGCCTAGAAGGATCTTTTTGAAATATGTCAATTGGTGATTGTTGGTTTGCAACGTTATTAAGTTTCCATTCCACTCGTTGGCGCAGACGTCATCGATGGATTGACAAGGATAATTGAGTCATTTATATCCGTCTGAAACTCTTTGAAATATTTGAGTATAGGGTTATTTATATTAAAATTATATATTTTCAATTTTCAAATATTCAACAGTGTCCTATGATAATTATAGTCTCATTTTCAATTTAAACAAGAAATCTATTGCTCACAATATTTTTGACGCTCACTAATTATTAAAAATTCTTGCTGCTAGGTTTTTTTTCTCTTGTGAAATAAATATTTTCTATTATTTTATAATATCAAATAATTCTTACCAAAACTACCCGGGAATTGCTTAGTATTGTAAATTTGCATAACAAGTTCGATACTACTAAAAAGATAAAAAAAAATTAATTCAAACTTTTATTTTCCTGTGCAGATATTTCCTTTTTGGTAACCGGAATTAAATTGATAGGTTCATACGATTACACTGAAAATTCTTTTCCAGAAACAAAAAGATTTAAAAAAAATCAATGCGGTATAACTGAAATTATCATTTACAACATAACCCTAATGTTGAAGGTCGATTCAATAACATAATTAATATGATAGTATTTGCCAAATTATTCGAAAGGGAAAAAAAGTATAATTTCCTTTGAGATTCGGATAAAAATAGAAAAATATAGATCGTAAAAAAAAAAAATTTTAAAAGTTATATAAACGTAAAATTTTCAATTAAATTTCTTCACTTCTTTTTAAGAATAATTTTAGGAATTTAAAAGAAAAAAAATGTGATGTAAAAATTATTTTTAAAAATAATTATATGGGGGGGGGGGGGCGGTCAATAGAAAAGGGGGAAATCTACAAATTTTAGTTATTAAGCTAGTTTTTTTCACATGACCATGATCAGCAGAGTGAACCAATAAAAAAATTTTTGACTAAAAAGTGGATTTCCCCCTTTTCTACTGATTTTTTTAAGTATTCAATAAAAAAATAAAGTTATCAGCCGCCATTTTCTTGATCGTTACCCTTTTGATTTCAATTGCATTCTCTGTTCCAGCCGAATACAATAAGGATAATGACTTTAATACATATTGCAAAGACATTGAATTTAAAAAACTTGTCGATGCTATCATTATAAAATTAATAGCACTCAAGTAGCTCCGCAAAGAATGTATTGAAAATTCGGTAAGATTAAAATTTATTTCTTATTTTTTAAAAAAAAAAAGAAAATTTCATTTATAGATTCGTTTCCTTATATTTTTTTATCTTAAATTCAATGTGATAATCAATCGAGGGCCACTGTACGAAATTTCAGTGTAACCGCCAACAAAGTTGTATATACTATCGTTGAATTTGAAGATGTTAATTTGTTATTTTTTAAAAAAATATATATGTATATATATATTTTTTTTAATTTATTAGATCTATAATCGTCTTTCTATATTTAATGTGCTTATGATGGAGCTAACTATTTTCTTATATCTCTATTCTAATATAAAATGACACAAAATATTTCATCCAAAGGTAATCAATTACCCTCCCATCAGCACTTGCGAAAGGTAGAGTTACTATCTGATGAAGATCATACTATCACGAAAAAAAGAAAAGATCACAAATTCAAGAAAGTGACGATAGTTAAGAAATATTATAAAAATTCATTTTCAATAAATAAATTAATAATAAGCGTTAGTTATTAAACTATTTATATTAAATAATGTTATCAAATAGTAATTTTACAATTTGACATAATAACAAAATAAATGAGTAGTAACTAATTGTACTAGCAAAATATTTTATAATTGAATAAATACTTTTCAATTATTAATAATATAACCAAAGTTGTTTAAATCAATCATGCCCATTTTCAAATGATTGAGGCCGCGATTAATCCAAATTTTGATACATTAACATCACAATCAGATTTAGTTATGACAAAATTTCATTAGAAAATAAAGTTATGAATATTATTTATTTTAATCTACAACTATTAAATTAAAAATTGTTACAATGCGATATAACAAAAAAAAAAAAAAGAATTAAATTATAGAAAAGATGAAAAAATAAAATAATAATAATACATACGCGCTTACTTCCGAAGCTAAAAAAATATAAATAATTAGCTGCGACCGCCGTCCAATCCGCAAAAAAAAAAAACCCTATGATTGAATAAGAAATAAATAATTTAATGCAAAATTTAATGCAAATATATAATCGGAAATAAAACTAATTTTCGACAATACAACCAGTTAAAAAAAAAACCAAGTAAAAAGTTTAAAGAATTTGCCTAAAAAAATTAACGCTAATAATATAGCCTAAATGAAATGAAGAAAATCGGGTAAAAGAAAAAAATAGAAAATAGAATTAAAAAATACCAATTAACGTGATTAATAAAAAAAAAAATTATAAAATTGAATAAATATCGTCATGAATCCGAAAAAGTACATTTTTTAAGTGAATATTTCGAAACCGAAATTTATTTAGCAAATAAAGGTATGAATTAAACTTTTATTCGTAGAATATTCAAAAAGCATCAAGCATCAATAAAATATCCATATGCAGATAAGAATGTCAACCTGATTTAGCTCCAAAAATTGAATTTGTTGATAAAACAGCGCAAAAAATAAAAAATTAATTTTATAAACGAAAATATTGTTAATAAATTTCTGTGTATTCAAGCACATTTCGAACAAATCATATTTTACTGTATTTATCGCCGTTTTCAAAATGGTGTAATCAGGTGATTAAAAAAAGGATTTTCAGATTACACTAAAGTAAACTTTAAAAAACTTTCTTAATGAAACTATTTTTTCAAAACTTTTTAACTTTTATTAACCTTCATAACATAGAGTATTTGAGCCTTTTGTATTAGTGAGGTTTAATATGTAGAAGTTTCTTTTAGCTTATAAAACGATTCCTAGCTTCCTAGCGATTCCAAAACGATTCCCTAGCGATTACTACAATTATTGGCGAGATTCCTGTTGCGATTCCTAAGTAAGTTTTCTTCTAAAAGCTTCGTTTTAGCTGATACTTATCTTTTTTTTTTTATAATATATATTTACAATAATGAGAAATGTTTTTTTGGATGAGCCTTTATCATTTTTATAATAATTCATTCTAACATGAAATTTTTGATTTTTTAGAAAAATGCAATAATTGTTAATTTTTTTCATGGATCCAATATGTTCTTGTTATAAATATATTTGGGAATATTTGATGTTTTAAATTACAAGACATTATTCATTATTATATAATTTGTTATTTTTAATGTAACATTTATTTTTTGTGTTTTAATATTACTTTTTTTATTTTTTTCAAGTGTTATTTAAATATTTTTCTAGTGTTTTTAATTTTTTTACGATTTTTTTTTTAAATTGATCGACAAATCACCTGATCACACTAATTCGAAAACGGCGATAAATAAATTAAAATTGTTAATTTATATAAAATATAAAACAAAATAAAATAAAAATAAGACTTTTTATTTAAATTATTCCTAATGATTTTGTTAATTTTGTTAATCATCATCTATGATATAATTACATGATTTACATCATAGTAATTGTTTAAAATTATTGATTAATAAAATAAACTATTTTTTCTGAATTCTACTATTCTACTTTCTTACATCTCTTTTTTTTGTTACTTTTCTACAAAAATTTGACTTTCTTATATTTTATTTATTGTTACTTTATTAAAAAGAAACCAGTTTCTTTGTAATACTATTCACATTTATTAACATTTTAATAATATTAAAATAATACTATCTTTTTTTAAACTTTTGTTAGTAAGTTTTCATTAATAAGTAATGTTAATAACTTTATAATTTATATTTACCTTGCAATTTTTTGCATTTGATATTTAGATTTTAGACTTTAATACAAAAATATGAAAAAGATTCTGAAGATATATATTTTTAATAAATATTTACCTTTTCTTTTTTTTTATATAATGAATATTAAAAAAAAACTGATTAAATCACTTACTATATCTAATATTATATTATCTATAAAATATCATCTAAATTATATATTAAAATGCAGTTTAATAATTAAAATCATATATATTTATTTCTGTTATAGATATTAGATTGGTTTTGTATAATGAATATAAAACAAATATCTTAATAAAGATAAAAGAATATATAAGTATGTATTTAAATATAGACATACTAAAATATTTTAGTTAAAAAAACTACCACTTATTTTTTAATATAATTAATAGAGAATTAATTAAGACAGATTGTACTTATTTTATTAATATATAATCAATAATTAAATAATTATATTTATCTATAACTAAAATGAATTTTATATATTATAGTTATTTACTTAACTTAAAATTGTTTCATTTTGTTAATGTATATTGACAATTTTTTTAGAAAGTAATAAATAAAATAAAATTTTATTTAAATATAATGCATAGAATTAATTAATATATTTTAAAATAACTTTTTCTTAGTAAATTTAAAAAACAGCTTTTTAAATAAAGACTTAGCTAATACTATTTAGTATTTTTTGAAAGAATAAGATAATAGTATTGAATAGAATCTTAATAATAATATATCTAATCTTCTTAATAAATTACAAAAATTTAAAAAAGAAAATCTGACATATATATTTTACCACTATATTAAAAATTAACTTTATCATTTATTTTAATTATTTAAGATATTATAATATTATTAACAGATAATATAGCTCAGATTAATAAGTATTATTATTATTATATTTATTTGTAAAAGTTGATAAATATTATTAATCAAGATTAATAGCTCAAGTAATATTATATAATAAAATAATTTTATTATATATAGGTTTTTAACACTTTTTTAATAATAGTTAATAATTTAAAGTATCAATTTATTCTGATTATAATATAGGGTTGAATCTAGTTATTAAAACTATTTTTTTCATTTACTTAATATTTATTCTATGTCTTTTATATTATTTTAAATTATAGATGAGAGATGAAACCTCTTAATAATAGTTTAAACTCAGATAAAACTAAATTAAAATTATAATAAGAGATATAATAAAATTCTTCTAATATAATAA